TTACCGCACTGGAATCCGAATTTACCAATGGATTTTGCCTACAAAAGTGAGAATCCAATTAAGATTGAGACAACTGCTAAATCCTCAAATCTAAGCAACATGAAAAACAAGCAAGGGAGAGAAATTCTTTTACCACATGCGAAGCCTGAGACACGCCGGTTAAACCTTGCGGCGAAATCAAATCAGCGAACTAAACTCACAAAGAAGTAAAATCGCAAATCGAAATCGATAAAGAACTATAATCAATACCAATTCTACGAGCGTCACGAGGTCCGGCGCAAAACCCATATAATCCACCGGCCTGGGGGAAAAAAAAAAAAAATCTGAAATATGATTCTGGAATTGAGTAGAGAAGATCTCTCTCTTTCTTGTTCTTACCGTCGCGACGCGAATAACTGACTCGATGGTGAGTGAAGAGCACGGCACGGCGGAGATCAACTCTTCCTCCATCTCTCTGCAAAAAGTTTCACGAAACGAAACCCTTTGGTTGAAACCAAGCGTAAATTGAGAAACAAATATTGAACCAGACCGGGAGAGAATTAAATACCGGTTTTATTCAATTTTGTAAAGAACCGTGTCGATAATGAAATTCAAATTCGAGGTTTACACGTGTAAGAGGAAAAAGTCCCACATCGGGAAGAAATGATGGATGGTTGTTACTTCCACAGTTGTATTATATATGACAGAGAAAATGAACTTGTATTGGTTAGACTGGTTCGAGGTTAAGATGAATGAGCCAGTTTACTTAACAGCTAAGACCGTCATTTTTTGGGATGTGAAAACTGCAGAATCTTTTTTTATTATAATTTTCAAAAATTTGTCCAAATCATAAATGGATTTTGCAGTTCTCAAAATCCCAAAAGATGTTTGTTTTTGACGTTATGTAATCAGGGACTCAAAACGCATAGTTTGGTCTCTGTATGTTAATTTGTGCCTTCAGCATCTCTTGCCTACAAGTTTTTGTATAGTTTGGTTAAACGATCTTTTAATTCCAATGTCTTGTTTTGTTGTTTAAGGACTTGAAATTACTTCAGCTTATATGTGGGAGAAGTTTTTCTTTCCAAGCTTAAGACTTTGCATCTTGATGATGTTGTGTTCAATGATGAGAGTGGTGCTGCATTTACCAAGCTAATTTCTGGTTGTCCCGCGCTTGAGGAGTTAGTTATGATCAACGCGACGAGGTATTATTGGGAATCTTGCACTGTGTCCCACCCAACCCTCAAGACTGAAGTCAAGAGAGTAACAATTTGTTGTGAGAAGAGCATTCATGAGAATCCAAAGAGTGTATATTTGACACTCCAAATCTTGTCCACTTAGTATATACTGATACTGTTGCGGTCAAGTATCCAAAAGTGAATTTTGATTCGCTTGTTGAAGCGAGTCTTGATCTTCAAATGAGTCTTGATCAGGAATGGCCAGCCAGAGATATAGGAAATGCAACAGATTTATTTATCGGAATATGCAATGTTAAGATACTTTACTTATCTGCTGCTACTCTTGAGGTATGTTAGTGTGAAATATTGCTTTAGGATATGTTGAGTTAATGATCGCAAATGAGTGATTTGCTTTTTTGTTTCAGGTACTTGCTTTCTGCTGTAAAGCAATACCGGTCTTCAACAACCTGATTCATTTAACTATTGAGACTGAACAAGAAGTAGGATGGAAACCGTTGCTGAATCTGCTCGAGAATTGTCCGAATTTGGAAACCCTCGTCTTCCAAGTACCAGCACTTATCCTTTTCTTGCATCAGCTGCCACGTTTCTTTTCAAACACAATTAGATTCTGAAAACTGTTTATTGTACTATATTATGCTTCAGGGACTCCATTACCCAGATACAAATCAATGTGAAGATAAGAGATACCGTTTCAAAGGTATAAACAAATGTTGTGATGAGGATGGGGACAGATGCGTGTGCAAACCTTGGGAAGGCACTCCTATTTGCATACTGAAGTTTGGAGAATTCTATAGTAAGCAGATGGAGCTGGTCAAGTACTTCTTGGAGACAATGCCAAATCTTGAACAGGTGATAATATACTACTACAATTCTCCATTTGATTATTGTGTGAATAGACTATCAACCCAATTTCAGATGCTTGAGAAAGTCGCCTCGCCCAAATGCAAGATCCAAGTAATCTCGTCTAACATCAGCTTCTCATCTACTGTACACTCTTCCCCATCAACAAATGGACTCGTCTTCTTTAAAAACAGATTTCCGTTTTGAAGACGGCCTTGTTTCATCTCAGACAAGTTAAGCAAAGCCGTGGCTGTTAGTTTTAGCTTGGACAACAATGGTAG